CAAAGCGAAGGTGAAAGTAAACAACGCTCGTTCATGCATGCGCTTTCAAACAACTTTTTTTTCCGTTTACCGGAGATGAACCCCTGAAACTGGCCCAGAGTCACCAAGATTTCTCTCTTAGATGAAGAACAGGGACGTTTTGAGTCGATTTTTCTGAGACTGTTTGTATTTTAGATTTTGGGTTGATTAATTTCCATTTTTCATACAGATGCCAACTCTGATGAGTTACTGGACGTGAAAATTCGCAATCGCAAGTTTCGACTCACAGAGTCTGAAGTGCGTGAAATGCTGAAGACGGCAGCATTAGAGAAGCATGGATTCAAAGTAAAGGTTACTACCAAGGTGGTGAAAGATCTAGAAAGCGGTGAACAACATTGCCAGGTATATTATTTTCATGTCCTCTTCTCTTATACCCAGAGTTCTTTGCGTGTTTTGTGTTGTTTCAAACTCATAAACGACCTTATTTAAAAGTAAAGGCAGATAGTTTCGAAAGAAACTGTTTGGGGCTGCGTCGGTGGGGGTAACGAAATAATTTGGATATATCAGCAAAGTTGAAATGGTAAATTGGCTACCGTAACGATTATAAAAGCTGACGCTTCGAGCGTCGGCCCTTTGTAATCGTTACGGTGGCCAATTTACCATTTCAGCTTTGTTGATATATCCAAATTATTTAAAAGTATCTGTGTGCTTTGAAGATTGAGGTATATATGCTTAATCACTGTTTCTTGTTGGGGAGATAAGTTAGTGACAGGCCGGGTATTCCTGTAATTGATACATCACCTGAAAAATTTCAATTTTCCTTTCTTTAGACATCATACCAGTACCACAAAGAAGTCGATTGTTCACGCATGCAAAGAGTTGGAAAGCAGTTGAACGACCGGATTCCTGGTAAAATGGAATAAGTCTTTAATCTTAATGCATATTTAGGAAAAGGAATCATATCACTGTTATTTGTACTATAGACTAAAACTGATCATGACCATTGTTTAAAGTGAGTACCAGAAACGTAAGCAAGATTGTACGTTGCTTATAAATGGAAACTTATGGATTTCTCTATTCACGGATCTATATGCAAAAAACTAATGCTTGGGTCTGCCCACAACCTCTTCGGCGTATTTGGCATCAGGCGCTCCTGAGGGATTTGACTTCTAATAAGAATACAAATAAACGGAATATTTTGTTCTCTATTCAGGTGCTTTTGAACGAGAGATGACTCTAAAAACAAGAGAAGCGATTCAAAACAGAGGTCTGTACAAGATGGGAAAATGTCAATTTGGACTGGCGATAGACATAAAAAAAGACGAGGGCTGTTTTGGCGTGCAGAAGGATACTGAAAAGGCAACCTTAAAACGCTTCAATAAGCAAGATCGTTCTTCATTTGCCAAAGTTAGCGTTGAGATAAAGAATGTGATATAGATATCCACAGAAACAAGAGAAACTCATCAAAAAATAATAAAATGTTCATCGTATTCAAGAAGCATCAGAATATGTAGCTCGGATGTCTTTGAGATGAAGGTTGACAAATGGAAATAAGTGTTCCTTAAAGAGTGAATGTACTCTTCATAAATGTTATATCTAAATGTGTTAAGGTTAGCCTGCAAGAACTACCAAAAAGAACCCAAAAAAAACCCAATAATTACAATAACAGCAATATTATATTATCAAAGGCAGAGATAGCGGCTTTGATTGCGTGGAAATCACTCGCTCGTGTTGTTTAACATTTGATAACGTGTAGATTTTGTTTTCTTTATTTAAGCTGTCTTTGTATATTTTTGTCAGTTTTGTTTCAGACATGATCGTAAACACGCAAATATTGAAGCAGGGCGCGACTGACCTTTTAATGGCATCGTGTTGAATAGTTTTGTATTATTCATAGCGGTTAAAAGAAAACTAAATAAATTTTGCTTGTCGAGATGAATCGTCATTCAGAGCCTGGATGTGTGTCATTTTCGTAAGCAAGTCGATCAGGATCATTGTCATTTCCAAAACCAAAAGTATGATAAATTACTGCTCATTAGCAGTTCAAAGCTACTGATTTATTGATACGTTAATCGTTTCCCAATTACCGGGGAACTTTTTTTAAACTATATACACTCTATTCAAAATTTTTCAATCGTCCCCTTTTTTATTCTGCCTAAGACTAATTGATAATTCATTTAGCATCCCTATCAGTTGTCTGATCACTGCAGCTAAGCCCTGGAATATATAAACTGCAATTAAACGAGGAAGCAGATATTCTGTACGATGTCTTCTTGGATTCAATATGATTTGAAAATGCAAGTTGACAGGTTCTTTGCTGACCTACCCTTGACAATATAGTTTAATTACCTTACCGTTCTGTAATCAATTCATTGATATAATGCATATTGGGGTTGCAAAAAAGAAATCGTTTCGGGCGGTTTTATCACGGTTAGCGGGTATATAACACTCCGTTGTAATTTAAGGCTTTGTAAGGTCAAAAGTGACGAATATTTTATGCAGCAAATGTTACCGTTTCAAAGAGCGTGAAAGCTTGTGTGCTTCTTTGATTCGCCGACCTATTGTCGAGACATCGACATTGATAAAATAATTGATCTCTATCAATAATACGAGGCTGTGGGCACTTCCTGACTCCTTAGGGGGAACAATTCCTGTCAAGTATAAATTATTTTAAGAATTGTTTCTAATTTATGAAGGAAACATATATTTTGCTGTCTCTGTACCACCTGCGCATGAGTCTAGAAATATCATAAACTACAGAAAAAGTAATCTCAGTTCCAAGGCATAACCTTAACACCCTTCCAGCCCCAAGAGGAAAAAGAACAGTGCTATGCAAAGAGATTGTGGAATATAATGTCAAATCCACTCATAAATACGACTTTGCATCAGTCCTTCGGTCAAACACATACTGCCCCCGATTCCAAAATGAGGAATACCTAACGATTACCTACTCAATCGCTCTGGCGGCGTTAATTCTTAACACACTTAGCTGCCCTGCAATCCCTGCCCTGGCATGAACGCTTTAGTAATAGTGGCGGTGAGGACCATACAGAGACTTCAAGGCCGTTTACACGGCAGAAAAATCGGGTACGGACGTGTCAAAAAAGGAGTACGGACTGCATAATTTTAGCCGTTTACACGGATGATGTTTTATCACGGGTCGGACAAAAAGAGGCATAAGGACCAAGTTAGCAAGGTTGCGTTTACACACCAATTTCTTGCATGGGACTACAGCATGATTTGGTACAGCTATGTGCTGTTATCGAACATGCGTAATTCTTGTAAACAAAATGGCGACGCGTGATGCTGAGTTCAGGGGTACGGACCCGTGTTTTTTCTGGTTTTGGGGCCATAGACGTCTATGGCCCCAAAACCAGAAAAAAACACGGTTCCGTACCCATCCCCCAAAACATGGTACGGATTGTTTATACGCGCAAAAATGTGAGGTCCGTACTCCTTTTTTGACACGTCCGTACCCGATTTTTCTGCCGTGTAAACGGCCTTTTCAGCTCGAATGTAACTTACTGTTAGCCTCTTTAGCAGGGACAGGAGTGGACAGTTCACAGTTCACAGGAGTGGCACTCTTCCTGCCACCATCGCTGCCGAAATTTTCGCCATGGTTACTGGCTCTGGGACGGTGTACTGTACCATTACGAAACATACTTTGAATTTACGATTTATCTCCGTACTAACCGCTCTTTTTCAACTATTGTTGATCAGTTTTGAGCGTTACCTGGCATTGCGATATCATTTGCGCTATCCTTTCTTTGTAACAAAATTTCGCTTGGCGATGGCTATTGTATCTACTTGGCTTTTAGCCATCGGGTATGTTCTTTTCAGAACACTGTTTGCAACTCATCTGCGTCAGGGAATTCTTCTGTTCATTGTTATATTTTGTGTATCCTCTTTAGTGTATTTTCTCAGCTCTGTGTACGTAATCGCGCGCGGCCACGAAAGGAGAATTAAAAAAGAACAGTCTCCCGCGGGGGAAGAAAATAAACGCTTCTTGAAGGAGAAGAAAGCCTGGATTTCAACGGGCATCATTATTGGTTTCCTTTTGCTGTCTGTCTCACCTACGCTCATCGTATTTTTGGCTTCGAGGTTTCAAGTGGACTTGCGATTGCTGATTTCTTGACGCCCTCTCGAGCAATCGTGTCTCCTGTTGAACTCACTTTGTAACCCGATCATTTGTCTCTTTAGGATTCGAAGTATGCGCCAAGAAATGCTATCGTTCATCGAAAAGGCATAATATAGGAGTATAAGGAATTGTGTATTTGAAATTGGATATAAATATTTTTAAAGTACAGGGTGATTATTTAAAGACAAAAACACACCACAGCCTTGCGTTCAGAATACTAGAAACGTGATTATTTGTGTGTCTGAATATCTAAACTTAAATCTGACTAGACAAAATAAACGAACATTACTGTTTCAACCATGATGCATTAATAGAGGACAACGTTTGAAATGTATTTCAAACCCAGAAAGGAAAACAATAGTATGGCAACACCAAAATTCTGTATTTTGTCTCATGAAGCCTTGGTTGTGACATGGGGCCATGTCAAATTGTAGGTTTTATTTTTAAGTTGAATAAACAATGGTCATTTGAAGTTTGTCTTTATCTTCTCGATTCTTGATTATTGAGCCTCGTTCTGTTTTGGTCAAGTTTTCTCTTTTTGGTATAAATATCTCTCTCTTAACTTTCTGATTTTAGGATTCTGATATTGAGATTCTAATATCGTTGTGTTCTTTTCATGTTCCTTTCATATGGGTCTTGACGCTTATTTTGATAGAAAAAAATAGGACCGCCGTAAAGTGAATAGTACTGAAACGTAGTCAATAAAGTGACGCGTCGTCAAAATAAACTCGGTCAAAAAGTCATTTTGAGAAAATCGATGAAAAATAACGTACGGTTATCTAAGTTTTAAACCAAATTCTAATGACTCGTAAGCCAACAGAGAAATTTATGATCACCAGGTAGGAGAATTGGCTTCGAGATATCGGCAGCTGATGATTAAGACATTCAGCAGGCTCTTCATATGGAGCACTTTTCCATATAAATTATTCACAAGTATAAATGTAAATTCTTTTTTGTGGTAACCGTTTGTCATTATAACATAACCAAATTAAAGCGCGCGCCCTGATTGGTCAATTTAGCGTCCACCACTTGCCCATGGGTATATGCTGCTGATGTTCCGCGCGCGCTTGTTTTTTCTGGTCACGTAAGATTTGTTAAATCAAAGAAAACTCTTGCTTCAATGTGTCAATGTTATGATATAAAACAAATGGTAAACGCCATAGTGTACACTGTTGACACTGTTGAGTTATGGATGCACTTGGGAGGTTTGCTAAGCACTCAAGAAGCTAGAGTCGCTCTCAGCTATCGCCTCGCGCCACTCTTACTCTTCTTTCGTGCTTAGCAACCTACCCGCGTGTATCCATAACTTAATAGTGTACGCTGTGGTGTTTACCATTTGTTAATTGTCAGTTCAAGTCTGTGACATTATTATTCGTTTGCATTTTTATGGCTGATATCCATTCTAATTTTTTTTAAGGAAAGAAATAGACAGAAGTGTCTTAAACGATCTAAACATTTAGTTACATGCAAATGAGAACACTTTTTAAGGATGATATTCAGCATCGGAAGATATTAATCAATTTTAATGGATGAAATATTGCACGAAGAAGACAAATTGACGTTTTTAGAATACCTCTTAAGAGAGGATCACAATAGGTAATGGCTCAATAGGTAATGGCTTTTACGGCTAACATTTAAAATTTTGGCCATATTATGGTAGTTAATTTTTTTTTCAGCTCCTCAGGTCACGGGAATATTGCAGTCGCTCGGTGACACTTCTTTTTTGAGTACCAAACATGTCCTTATTTTCCTGGGAAGCGATGAAAGATGAGTACACGGTTACTTTCTTTCCGTCGCGATCAGAGGAAAAATTCTTAGTTAAAATTCTTTTTGATTAACGGTTAAAATCGTTAGATGTTATGCCTGACTGCTAAATTTACGGCTAACGGTTAGTTGCTATGATGTTTTATTCAGAGGTAAATTGCAGTAAGGTGCATGACATTGCGAAAGATGTGATCAAAATATGACTCATCATTTATTTTGCGGCGGATTTGATATCGGAAAATGTGTCAAAGGATGGCTTAAAAATCATTTGAAAAGTAAAGTAGTGCAAAAGGTACTTAGAAATCGCTGCTCTGTACACGGAAAACTTATTAGGGTTGCTTCTTCCTTTTGAAAATACCGCTCTGATATTCATTACAACGACAAGAGTATCTCGGCTGGAGGACACTCGTAGAGTCGATTTGGCCGACGTCTTCGCTACATCCAGGAATTGAATAGCGTATTCTTGATGCTCTGCATAACACACATGGTCATGTCAAGCAATGGCCGTCATGATTCCCGCCTTTTCAAACTTTGCCAAATATACTTAATCATTCGGAATAAAGATCACTTCCAGACTGGTTGTGCCAAGGCTAAGGGATTTTGATGGCTAAGCGTTCCGTGGGTGTAAAAAAACACTAATACAGCGCCTATGCGTATGGCCTGTCTTAACTATTGTCGCAATTTGCTAAAAAAATGTTTGTTTTATCTTTTTTCGGGGAGGGAGATTTTAACATTTTATAACTTATGCTATTGATCTATTTTGAAACTACTGCTAGTTTCGATGTCATGGTCTTATCTCGTGCTGAAGAAAAACCTACACTCAAATTGAAGCCCACTTAAAAGGCCAAAATTAGTCACGATTAAAACTTCCCTCCAGGCATTACTCCATCCTCCTTCGCTTTAGAACACTTCATCGCCGTTATTACTTGACAGCTATATGTCTGTATTTGTTATCAAAGGTTGTCGCTTTCTTCGCACGAAAAGTAAATCCCTTCGAATGTGATAGTAGTCACCAATCTCCTCTCTTTTTGAATAGGCGATAACCAGAGGTGATATCAGATAGTAGCCTAGGCCATGACCAATTACAACAGCCATAAATAGATATGTGTTGTAAGTGTAGGTCACCAACATTAGGAAGTAGCCAACTGATAACTGAACCACATACAAACAAGTGTTTGAGAATTCAGTGAGGACTTTTTGCCTGAAAATGGAGAAGACAAAAAAAATACAAAAAAAACAAACAAACAAAAAAAAGAATGGTTAAGAGAACTCTAGCTGTGTTTCAACATTTTTTATCCTTTCGCCTAGTTTTCTGCTAGAAACCTGATGCTTTAACATCTTATAGTTTCATTTTAAAAGCTAATGCGAGAATTATACTTTGAAGAACTCTTTAAGCGTTTGTTTGACCTTTTATTCTTACCTTTTGTTCAGACCGTCTCGGTGTTCAGTGTTCCATTGAGGAATTCTGCTCGGGTCTTCTTTTTTTCGATAAGCTTTAAGAATGGTATGAATCCCCTTAAGGCATTCGTACAGCACCGCAAGGGCAATAACGGCGACGAAGGATCCCACAATACCTGAAGAAGTCAATATTTCAAATGAGAAACCGTTCCCTTGTATCATTCGTGGACGCAAAGTATCTAGAGTGCTTTCCGTTTACCAAGTCTGGCTTAACCCAAAAAGAGATGATTCAAACGGAATGGTTCGCTGCTAGGTGTCTGATGAAATGAAACCAGAACTCTTTATAGTATAAAGGCTGATAGTTTCTAAAGAGACTGTTTGGGGCTGCGTCGGTGGGGGTAACGAATAATTTGGATATCTCAACAAAGTTGAAATGGTAAATTGGCCACCGTAACAATTACAAAACCTGACGTTTCGACCGTTAGCCCTTCGTCGGAGCGAAAAAGTGCTAACGCTCGGAACGTCAGCTTTTGTAATCGTTACGGTGGCCAATTTACCATTTCAACTTTGTTGATATATCCAAATTATTTCTTTATAGTATAGTTTTAACCTGCCATGCGGCGTTCTATTTAAGAGGGAGCTTACAAGCGTAACCAAAAAAGAACGCCTGATCGTACGGCATTGTAGTACAGGCGTGCCAATTGATGTCTACTTATGTATTTTCATTGCCTGGAGGACTGGAGGTTATTCGTTCGAATTTCGCGGACAGTTGCCATGGGAGCATGAAAACTGACTGATCCCACTCAAAGAAGTCAGAGGGCCTGTTCAGACAAAATTAAAGCCATTTCCATTTACAGACAGGAAGGTAAAATTGAACATTCAGTGAAAAAAGTTAAGACAATAATCGCACATGTACAATGAATTTACCCCATTTGTGTTCATTGGTTCGTGGAAGATTTTTCAAGTTTCCTGATATTGGTAAGTCCGAAACTAAGAAGAAAAATTCTGCAGGTTGCCCTTCCAAAATGATTATTTTTCGCCCTCAAAGAGTTACCAGACGTCTACAAGCTAAGTTCTTCACTCGAGTTTGCATAAGCATTAACAAGAATTAGGCAATGGCAAAAACTTGAACTTCGACCCCTAAAAGTTGACAACACAGGTTATTGTTCTTTTGGCAAGCATGCCGACATTCACGATTTTTTTCTGCGGTTGTAATTGACAATATAAAACAACCTTGAAATGTGTGCGTGTATTAAACGATTCAGTGTTCGAATTATTATCTGGGAAAAGAAGAGTGAACATAACGGTATTCAATAAGAGGTTTAAGCAAACTGTAATAGGAACATACTAAGTACGTATATTAGGTACTGCACATTCAGTAAATGTTTACCTTTTGATGAAACTATTCTCCATTCTTGAATCAGAACGAAAATTTGTTTCGAGGTACTAAGCGACAGATGCATTTGAGCGGTTCAAGTCAGCCTTTGGTGCGGTGGACGCGGAGCACAGTAATACACCTACTGATCTATTTTTCAGTTCTTTAGGGTCGCATGAATATTGCGGTCGCTCAATAATAACGAATAGAGGGCACTTCTCTCTTAAGTATCAATCGTGTAATTATCTTTCACGGGGGCGGGAGTAGACAGAGGAAGGCACAGCTTACAAACTGTCCTATTCGAATTTTTAAACCGCTGTTTACATGGGGCAAACAGAAATTCCCTTAAATAAATAGGCCTTGTAGGAAATACACTGGAACATGCGCCTTATTTTGCTCACCGTATCGTAGAGTCATATATCAGAACGTAGGTAGCGTTTTGATCATAAGAGGCCTTTAAAACGTCATTTTTCCTTCTTGGCCCAATATTTGATTTTAAATGGGTTAATATCGCTTAGTGATGCATGAATATTATTCTCGACAGTCTCTAGAGCTACATCAAAACCAAAACAAAAATACATGTACGGTAAGTGTTAAAAGTACTCAAACATATACATTTAACAACAAATACGTTGTATTGAAGGGAAAATATACGTACTAATAACAATTGACTTTTGAATTCAAGAAAGTGCAACTTTGAGAGACCTTTAATCCCTTCACTCCCTGCGGTGATCAACATGAAACCTCTCCTAAAAATATTCATACATTATCTAGCAAACGCGTGATTAGAATTCTCAAACTTATCACCTACATGTTACTATCTTGATGTAACACCAATTCTTGTAACTTATTTCCAAAGAAATGTTTCCCAACTTGAGAGAAGAACTAGCTCTCTGATCTTGGAAGTTAATGGTACTGAAAAAAGGGTAATTCACCCTTCCGAAACCCAAGATCTTTGAAAAACTAATTATCCTTACGGTTTTACGTAAATTTGTGGCGACCTCGCCACATATCCGCGACATAACGGAGTCTTCTTCTTTTACCTTTTTTAAATTTCTTAGCGTTTTTTTTTTTTTTAAGCAATAGAAAAACATTTCCGGGCTCCATGACGTGTAAAGCCACGTGGGATGTTGGGGGAACACAAGAAAAGCTTTAATTTCATGACATAACTAGTTGTCATCGATCAAATGCAGGCTTTATAACCTGATAATGCATCAGCTTTGAAATTGAATTGACCAATCGGACGAAGCGTACTATGTTCATAATCAACAATATGGATCTCCATCTCTTATAATTAATTCTTGCGCAACTAAGTCAAAATAGCAGTTCTTTGTAAAGCGACAGTTGAGGTTCTAGGTTTTACATTAAAATTAACGGCGTCCGATATCATTTTTAGGACTATTTTTGACAGGTTGTAAATGTATGTTATAAGACGTTTTCTTGTGTAGTATCGCGGAGTATTTTTACGAGTTGTGCCGTATTTTGACGAGCCCGTAGGGCGAGTCAAAATGCAAATAACGAGTACAAATACTCAGTGATACGACACACTAAAATGTTTAACAAGTTATTTATTATCCAACACCCCAAATCGTTATTTCATTACGGGCGAACTTTGCGGATATTTATTTACGGAGTGCGTGACAGAAGTATGCGAAGTGGAAGGGAATTGGCGCGTTGTCGTGTTGCTGTTTCTATTTTCTTCATTAAATGAGGAAAATTCGTTGTCGTCTAAACGCTTATCTTCGTTCGATTTATCTAATAAACTTGGATCAATATTCGCCAGCCAGTCTGACCCTTCGTTGTCAGAAAAATGATTTAAATTGTCCGCCAGTTTCTTTCGTATCCTCAAACCAATTCATCGCTAGCGCGATGCGAGAAAACCTGTCTAACCGGCTCTCTGGAGCACACATACCACGTGATATTTGTACTCCTCTTAGGCGTTATTTGTTCTTTACTACACAACAAAACGTCTAATCAGAGATTCATTATCCAACACGCCAAATTGTTATTTCAGTGCGGGCGAATTTCGCGGATATTCCTGGAGCACTAATATCACGTGATATTTGTACTCGTCTCGCACGTTATTTGTACTCTACGAAGCACAATTTGATAATAAATATATCTTATTAGACGTTTTGTTGTGTAGTATCGCTGAGTATTTTTACGAGTTGTGCCGTATTTTGACGAGCCCGA